TACATGCTCTGCCAAAGCACAAGATGGTTTCTTAATTCTACAATCACTCTTGTGAGAAATAATGCGATTTGAGAGATTTCTTCCAGTCTCACCAATATACTCAGCTTCACACTGAGTACAAACAATGCTGTATACTACATTTGTTTGATCTAATTTGTCTATAGGATATTTAGTTTTGGAATATAAAGATGAAATAGTTTTGATGTTCTTTGTTGCTATTTTTATATTGTCAATAACCTTTAATGTTTGTATTAATTTAGGAGTTAAAGATGGTATAAAAGGTAGTGAATGATAATATATGTTTTGATTGTTGGATACAGTGTTTTGAGATTTAGCAAAAAATGGTGTTAAGTTATTTATATTTAATAAATTAGAAAAAAGCATCCTATGTAGCATATCAGGAGGATAAGAGTTTTCAATTAAAATATTTTTTAACAAATGAAGATCTTCTTGTAGATAGTCTGGATGAGAAAGTTTTAAAACACGTTCCTTTAATCCTGTTATAAGGTTCATTTTCATTTTATTTGGATGATTAGAGTAATAGCTTATAAATCTATTACTACATATGGGTTTTCTGAACCATCTAGTTTTCAACATATTGTCTGTATTTCTTACAATTTTCATGTCAAGGAATAGTAGAGAATTATCTACCTCTTCCTCAACTGTAAATTGTATATGTTGATTATGATTGTTGAAAATGTTGACTGTTTCAAGAATTTTGTGTTTAGGAAGTGCCAAAACTAGATCATCTACATATCTTTTGATAAATGGAATGAAAAAAGTGCAATTATTGATACAATCACTAATAACATCATCCATGACATAGCTACTTAGAATGGGTGAAAGACTAGATCCCATAGGGCTACCAAAAATTTGTTTATAAAAAACACCATTAAATATAAAAATATTAGAATCAAAAACAAAGTTGATGAGTGTTTTAAAATGTAATAAACTCGAGTAAAAAATAGTCAACAAATAGCCCCTTTTATTGACTCCAACCCATCAAAAACAGTGTTATATTTTTTCCAAACGAGTCACAAGTACTTCTTTTTTCTTACTCTTATATATATATATATATATATATATATATATATATATGTGTATTTATACTACTTCACCTAGTTTGCGGCCCGCAAGCTGTGACAATGGCTACTATGCGGCCCAGGGAAAAAAAAGGTTGAGTATCGCTGATCTAGATTAATCTACAGATATTCTCAAGTATTTGACTTTCTGGTTTATTTTTGAGATAATCGATCACTATCTTCTTTAATATCAAATAGCATATATTTAGAAGAAGTACTGCGGAGGATGAACACAACCGCGGATTTGGTCAACATCGTGAAGAGCCTTAAGCTGGAGTACTTGGGACATATAATGAGAAATCAAAGCAAATACGAGCTACTCAAATGCATTTTGCAGGGTAAAATTAAAGGAAAACGAGCCCCAGGACGAAGAAGCTTATCCTGGCTTGCTAACCTGAGAACATGGTATAAAAAGACCTCAACACAGCTATTTCGTATAGCAACCAACAAAATCATCATAGACAGAATGATCGCCAACGTTCGGAACGGACAGGCACCCTAAGAAGAATATATTTAGCGATAAAAAGTCTGTCGTCTGCGTAGGTTCATGCCATTTTTGACTTATTTAGAACCGTTTCATTTAGCCTCAGTTCTTTTACTGTCACCACAAAGAGAATCCCCTGCCGCTCTCCGTGGGTACCAAAAATGGTCTAACTGACTGTGCTACGTACTTCCCCTGAGAGCCTTCCAAAGTAACAGCCATAAGTTTTATTAGTTTCATGAGTATCCCAAAGCATTTTGCATTATGCGTACCAGTTCACTTTTTAGTATGCAGTAAAATACTTTATGGATATCTATAAATAACATAGGCATGTGTGCTCATATTTCAAGCACGTTTCCATTACTCAACGCATAAGAAAGATTTGATCTATAGAATCTTTATCAGAAGATGTCTATATTGACATATACACACTTCTTTGTACTAGATGATACTGTAAGCCGTAAGTTATAATTGACGTATTTCAAATTCCATCTTGAATAAGGTTTTAATTCGACGTCTTGTATATTCGAACGTTAGTTTATCATAAGCATCTAAAATATTTGAAGAACAGAACTTTAAGTGTCTCTTAGAATATATTAAACAAAAATTTTAATGTCTATTTTATTCAGCCCAAATTGCCTTTTATTGAAGTTTCAATCAAGACAAAGATGAGAATCTAAGTAAATAAAGCACCATCAAGGGATTCAGCGTTTGAGTGTCTTAGCCCGTGTGGAAATTTTTGTAACTGAAATTGCAGTGATATTTGAGAAATAGGATTCATTACCGGTTGAACTTTTCAACAAGCCGATAGTCGGGCATTTTTTCGTCAGGTAGGGTAAGGAAAGGTATATTGGTGATAAAAATGAAAAATTCTAATAATATAGGGATTTGAAAACTGAGCAAGAAACAAGTTTTGCTTTATTACGTTACTTATTATTTGAAGTAAATGTTTAGAAGAGTTAATTTAACAAAAACGATTAATAATGATAGTAAACGTCAAATTGATATACATGCTTATGTTAGGTAAGTTGGTGACAGGGTAAGGTATATTGGTGATAGTGGTTAATAGGAAATTTGGTGATATTATGGAAATTGTATATTTAATCAGATATTTCAAATATTTTATTCCATGAAACGATCACATCTATAATAGAGTTCTTCATCGGCGTCAGTATCTTCGATAGATATGTAAATCTCGTGGTATGGTGTCAAACACAATGAGCACTAAATCCATTGGACTCCATTTCTTTTCTTAACATCAGTTGAATACAGGACTACACATAAGCCACACTCCCAATCATTTATTTTACTTTTTGGACAGATTTGTATGAAGTCGGCGGCTGTTGCTAAAGATTTTCTGTTACTGAAATGTTTTCATTTGTCGGTGTTAAGCATTTCGCATTTAAGTCCCTTTTTCTTGACTTCTCTGGACGTTTTGAAGCTGTTGGTGTTTTCAAAATATGATCGACTGTGGCTTTAGGATTTAAAATAGAAGTTTCAGGTGCTGCGTCAGTTGAAACTGGAGAAGCAGGAGCTATGTCAGTTAAAGATGAAGGCCGTAATGCTTCTTTTGGAATAACATCTCCAAAGTTTAAAGTTTCCAAAAATTCGGAATTCCAAATTAAATTCGGTTTGTTTTTTATATTGAGTTTAGTACGAACATCATTTAGTTTCGAAAAGAAATATTTGATCATAAATTCATTAGCAAAGGAAACTCTGTAGGCCGAATGATTTTCTGGCACACGAAGGCACAAGTTGTACCTACTTTTAAAATTATTCCACCACCATTTGCTTGCAATGTAGTTAGTTGGCGGCAAGAATTTCTCCCGACCATCCACTTTAGCAAGATCATAAGCATATTTTCTAATTTGATACACGGTTAGTCCAATTCCTATAATATAATTGTAAAGTATCAACTCTAAATCACATGACAATGCAAAAGGCCTCCCCAGTTTTCTTACAGAATCCTCTTCGTTCACTAGGTAACGTTTCAAAGTGCTCCATAGGACTTCTACTTCCTTTGCAGCTTTATATAATATAGTCTTACCTTCATTTCTTACTAATCTGACAGCGTTTTGAAGTTGCTGTTGGTTATATTTTCTATGTTTACCCTCTTTTTCCATTGCCAATTCAAAAGTAAAAATTAAATAGGTTATTTTGTGATATCGAAATCTTGTATAGGAGCGCTGTGTCATGAATGTGCTTGCATAGGGATCTGTGTGGTAATCTGATTAAAAATTATCACCAAATTACTTGTATCGCCAATATACCTTTCCTTACCCTAATGGGTAAGTATGGGTAAAGGTAATGGGGTTTGTCCCCTAGTACCATCCATTTCCAGTTGAGTCCATTAAAATTCAAGTAAGAATTTGCATTTGCTTACATCTGATACATTACATCACCGCCTATTACACACTACTTAAGTTATTGCTCCGGATGTCTCAGATCCTTACTTTATGTTGTTTAGCTCTTCTATCGTAGGCGTCTCTGATGTAATAGCCTATTCCTTTTCATGGTGGTGTTGAAACAACCATTGGCTCTGTTTAAAAGATGGGCACTTCCCATACTAAATGTTTTTTATGTAATTGACATCTTTGACGATGTGTTTTTATATTATGTAGTCTATTTCGCTTTTTGTTTAGCCATTTTCAGTTATTCATGCCCAACTTTTTTTAGTTTTTTTAAAGAAAGTGACTACTTGTGAAATATTACTACTTGTTTCGAAGTACTTTAAGCGTAAATAACTTGTTGGTTAAGGTTATCTAAATATGATAATAATAAACAGCTACTCACTAGATCTATATGGATATTTCAAGCTAATTGTATGTATGCGGTTTACATGGATCTATGAATACTAACTGATACACTCTTATTTAAGTATGTATATTACAGCACTTTTTAGTGAAGAAAAAAAATAGTCTTAAATATTTATTTGCAACAATCGACATCAATCTATTTTGAATATTTCGTCAGATTATACACCAATACAATTACCAAGTAACAGCAATGGTCACTGATCAATGGTCAATAACAAACAAGGAAGTTGCTAAAGCACTTCCAAAAATAGAGGAAGATAAAGCAGTTGGACAAGGTGATACCTCCCTCCTGCAAAATGTAAACAGAGTTGGGATAAATTAGAACAAGTTGAGTAACAGGTTTGTTTGATGGAATTGTGGAAGTAACAAATGCCAGACCAATGGGGAAACAGTACACTACTACCTGTTTACAAAAACAAAGAAGATGTTTAACATCAAACAACAACAAACGGAAATATTCGAAGATCAGTTTTGATTTTGATCAACAACAGATGCTATTTTCATTATAAGGCAGCTTATCGAACAATATAGTAATAAAAAAACAAATGCCCATACGGTATGGTAATTTTCAGATTACAACGTGACAGTAACTTTGGTCTTAGTATCATACTTTTCACTTACCTGGAAGCCTGACGAGAATGACCGGACTTAATCGAACCTCTAGGTGCTGGTGTCGCATCGGTTTCCTTATGACCGGGAGGCAAGATGAAATCTGTCTTGGATCCAACCCTACTATGCCCCGGTTTGTGAGGCGGGCCACTCGAATCGAACATTTGTCCCTGAGATAGCGCCCTTTGGTGGCCACGAGCTCCTTTCAGGGCGGATCGGCCTACTACAACTGCCGAGTTGCTACCCACAGACGTGCCACCTCCGTGGCTGACGCTACGAAGGTGGCCTCTCGTTTCGGGAGACCGCTTCGGCTCCGGAAAGGTGTATGTTGAACATTGTGCGTTCAAAGGAGGCACTAGCGTGTCTGATTGAGAGTTGCTAGTCGATTTTTCCCCGGTGTTGTTGGCAGTCGACATTTTAAATCTGAAACAAAAAGAAAATATAAAGAAAACCTACATAAATAAAAAACATCTTTAAAACTAACCGCATTAAAAATAAAAAGAGATTAATGTATGAATACCACTGGAACAATATTTCCGATGTCTTTTTTTGACTCATGCATATTCCCATTGATGCACAGAAACTGACATTAATACTATAGAAACGAACTACAAACGAAGAAGCATCCTATCAATCAAGGAAAAGGAAAAGAGTTGTTAACCACAATAAAAACAGCCAAAATTGAATACCTCGGTCACATCATGAGGAACATCGAAAGATCTGGGATGCTGAAATTAATTCTTCAAGAAAAAGTAGAAGGAAAACGAAGACCAGGAAGGCGAAGGATTTCATGGTTGAAAAATATACGTACGTGGTTCAACACAACAGACAATAACCACAAATCTTTTTAGAGCCGTAGTTTGCAGAATACAGATTGCCATGATGGTCGCCAATGTAATATATCAGCCCCTTACCCAAAAGAAAACAACCTTACCCCCAAGCGCAATCATGAATCTGTTAGCCGGTATGTAACAAGTCAACATAGCAAGAAAATAAAAGAAACAAAATAACGGATAGTTAGCATAGAGAAGAATAATAATAATTAATTAAATAATTATTATATAATCCAAATTAAATAAAGAATAAAAAATTGGACATATTTTAACGTATACATTTCAAATTAAACAAAGAATGAAAATTCGACCTAGTTTAACGTGTATTACACAAGTTCGATATCAGGTCGCTCCGAATGTTTAAAAATTACGAAAACATAGACCTTCGTTGGAAAATAATACAAATACAAAACGACATAGCAGCAATGGGAATTGAGCAGAGTTGGGTAGTTGTCCGGCACCCGTGGGTGCTCGGAGGCAGTAGTGTCTAGAGCCATATGTTCAACTTCGATAATTTAAGTTTGTTTTTTTGTTCTTTCCCGCCGTTTACAGGTAGAGACTAGAAGAGAACACACTTTCGCTTTGTGCATTCCTCCGGCTTCTAAAGCAAGCCCATAGACTCTAACTCTTTACAGGGCTTGAAAACTGGACGTCCTTCATCCCCTAGCCAAATATTTCCCTACCCTCGTGTAAATCAGCGAGGGAGAAATCACGTCCATTCAGACTAGTTGAGCCAGTAAGCCTTGCCTCCGCTTGCAGAGATAAGCATCCTTTTGGAGTTTAAATCGAGGATATTACACCAACATCCGAAACCGATAGGCACTACAAGAAGAAGAAGATCGTATCAATAATGAAATATGTTCAAGATAAGTTGATGTATAATATATGTCTTAGTCGAAAAGATTGAAATTTTCGGAGTCAAAAACGAAGTGTCTCATGTTTTCAAATTCAAAACGACTCGACACCTATATCTATCTTAACGGAAAATCCGTAGAACTTGTAAACAATATAAAATTTTTAGGAATGATATTCGACAAAAAAATTACAGGGAAAAATCATGTTTAGTTCGTAAAAATAAATTGTCTAAGTTCTTTAAATTTCGCATGAATAATAGCCAGTTACAACTGGGGAGCAGATTCTACTGCAATATTAACCATACATGTCACTAATCAGGACAAACATCGAGTACGGCTGCATTCTGCATACATCAACTAATCATACAATATTAAATCGAGGTGATTGAAAACACCGCATTAAGAATTACTAGCGTTGCTTTCCGAACGTCCCCTTTTGAAAACCGCTAATGTCTCATAGGCAAATTACAACTCTATTTAAGAAGAATGTACGTTATAGTCGGACAATTTTCAATTAAAGGTGACTAATCTACAAATTGAACTAGCGGTAGCGGCAACCATGAAAAATTTCATTAGTAAATTCTTACCGGGGTCATTTTTATTGTGTATGCTTCGTCCATGTAAATATGTAAATTTGTAACCCATGTAAGATAAATTTGCCCCCGTAACAATATACATTGGTGCGATTCACGAGTGTATAGTGAGACAAGTTCATAGAATAGTTTGGAACATCGGTAAAATTATCAATATTTTGCTGGTCTATATATATTTACGTTTTTAGAAAGAATGTTAATTAGAGAAATGTGATATCTTAGTTTATTGAAGTTTATGAAATATGATATCTTCCAGATTTTATACATATGTGCATAGGCGTAGTGTATTATTGGGAATATATTTATTAAATATACTTTATTAATAACTTTAAAATAGTTTTGTGGTAAGTAAAGTAAATTTGAGGCCAGTTTATTCTTTATATAGTATTAAACCCTTAACGGCAGCTCAATATACAAAGAGAAATTTGACAATTAATTTATTAGATTGGACTAAAAACACAAATTAGGAATAAATTACAACCAAAAAGATTTTTTTTTCTAATTTTTAAGGAAAATAGTACAATTTTTAATAAAGGAACATATTGTATCTTAAACGTAAATTAAATTTTAGGGTAAAAATTTTCGAAATATTCGGGGTGTAGATGCATTCTACACTTTTTACATAAATAAATAGTATTACTTTTGTACATCCTACATTTTTGCACTATCGTCTCTTTTTATAATGAGGCCAATATTGTCGGATCTGGTTTGATCTGATAAAGCAAATTTAGATTGACGCCCTTGTACTGACACTGATGTAGCGGTTTCTTTACTATTATAAATTAAAATTATAAATCTATGTCGGCTCATGCTTTCTCTTATAATATGCACTTCTTTATCCTCATCCTTTGACCAATGCATATCAACTTAAAGCAGAGTGTAAACCAGAAAATATACATATGCTAATAATTTTTTTAAATCTATGTTATTCATTTCAAAATTGTGACGGTTATTCTCAATTACTTTTTTATCAAAAAGAGTGAAAAAACTTCAATATATGACTTGCCTACATGGTTGGCTTTTATATTGTCTAAATATCAATCAGACTGAAGTTGAATTACTACTGAGCACAAAAGAATATCCGTTATTACAACTTAAGATAAATTTGGATTTATTATTTTTGCCTGGTTTTTTCATTGGACGTTTTATCTGTGGTTCAGAGGAATATCATAATCAGAATCGTTAGAATTCCCAGTCACTTGTATTTCATATGTACCTGCAATATCCGATTTTATTGATTCTTCACAAATAATATTATCATCAATCTCTTCAAGGAATACAATAATATACCAGCAAACGAATGGGAAAGATACCTGACGGAACTGTTTAAAGAAAAAGGAAAATAATAATCAACACAATAACGTACCTGAACTAAGAGACGAAATAGAAATCAGTTTTCACGAAGTAGAAATAGTCATACATTCACTCAAAAATAGAAAGTCACCAGGACCAGACGGAATAATCAATGAGCTTCTAAAATACGGATGAGAAGGTTTAACCCTAGAGATGACAAAACTTATACAAAAACTAATATTGCACTGCAAGATACCAGATGCATGGAGAAACAGCATAATAATACCAATGGTCAAGAAAGGAGATAAAGAAGACCCCAACAATTATAGAGGTATAAATCTACTGAACACCGCACTTAAGCTTACCACAAAGTCCTAACCAACAAAATCAATAAACTAACAACTTTATCAGATGAACAACAAGGATTCAGATCTGGATGATCCTGCGTAGACGCCGTATTTGTACTAAAACAAATCACAGAAAAGGCCATCATATCTATGTTTTATAGACCTGACAAAGGCTTTCGATCGCATCCAAGTCGAAGACGTCTTACACCTACTGTATAAAAGGAACATACCAATCAATATTATACAAACCATCGGAAGCATCTACCTCCATAATCGAATACAGGCAAAGATAAATGGAAAACTAACACAGCGTATGCCAGTACAAAGCGGAGTCAGACAGGGTGACTCGTTAAGCCCACTTCTCTTTAATATATTAATGGACGAAATAATACAAGCAGTACGTAAAAGTTATGGCTACAGAATTGGGAACAAAGAAATCCAAATATTATGTTATGCAGACGACGCCGCATTAATCGCCGAGACAGAAGACGAGCTCTAAAGATTAACACATATCTTCAACACAACAGCTAAGAAATACAATATGATAATATCAGCGGAAAAATACAAATGTATGACATTTAAATACCCACTATGGTGTAAAATCGAAATTGATGGGAAAATAATAAAGCCGGAAGCATGAGTTAGATATCTGGGAATAGATATAACTAGTTACGGAGATGTTGAAGAAGAAGTACGATAGCAAAGCTTAAAAGCAAGTAAAGCGGCCGGTTCTTTTAATGACACAATCTGGAACATCTAAGACAAGACACAAAAACAAGAGTCTATAAAGCAGGAATTAGACCTATATTAGCATACACGGCTGAGACAAGACCTGACACATCTAAAACGAGACGACTGCTAGAAACAACAGAGATAAAAATACTCCGACGAATATCAAGGAGAAGTCTGTTGGATAGGGAGAAAAGCAAAAACATAAGAAGAGCATGCAATATAGAAGACATAAATGGATGGGTGACAAAACGAAAACACAAGTGGAACAAAACACATCAGTAGAATGGTGGAGGATAGAATAGTACGAATAGCACGAGATAAGTCACCAAATGGACGGAGAAGTATTGGCAGACCAAGAAAAAGATGGTGCGACAATTTAAACAATTTAGAAAGCTCATATTGAAAAAGAAACAGGCTTTAAAGCCTACAAACTAGAAGGAAGAAGAAGAAGAAGATCAATGTCTTCTACATCAGAAACTTTCTAATCTAATCTCGGCGGCAAATAAACCACATTAAGTGGGATTTTCACAATCTAAGTCTTCTTCCAACAAAGCTAATAACTCTTTAGTAGTTGGTGTCATCTTCATTTCATATTTCGAGAATTTACTGAAATAAACAAATGCACTGCTATATAAACGCATTCATATGATAATAGTTTAGCTTACTTCATTTTAATTTATATGAACTTCATAATATATTTTCATATTTATATAAACAAATAAACACAAGCAAACTTTCAAATTAAGTTAAAAAAAAAACAAATATAAAGTT